GAAAGTGACCTGAGATGACATGATGTGAATTGGAGCTATAGAAATAAACTAAATAGAATTGAATAATGCCCTGAAAGAAAAACTCTAAACATGCTGAACATTTTCCAGTAATAATAAAATATAATTTATTTTCTTTTATTCTTTGACTGATTAATGACTCCCCTGCCAGTGAACGTCTCTTATCATGATGTACGTCCATCAGGACAGAATTTAAACAATAAAAATCACACTTTTTCATTTTCTTTTTATTATTTTTAACTCACCAGCTCGATGTCACGCACGCGCCAGAAGCTCACGGCCGTGGTCAGCGCGCGTGGAGAGTATTCCGTCAGGTACACGCGCTCATCACTCAGCACTGCATACATGTAGACCTTGTTAATGAGGTCGGACACCACCACGCACGGCTCATAGGTCCGGATCCGCTCGTACAGAGCCCGCTCCGTGTTCCGCTTCAGGAAGGAGTCCAGCCGGGGGTTCCTGCGCGGGAGGAGGGGCAGGAACTCGGTGCCGCTCCAAGCCATGGAGCTGCTGGAGCCTTAACCTCTGTGGGTGTAGAAAGGAACCGATTCTGTTCTGTTTCGGTCCATCCTGAGGGTTCGACCTTTAATCATGTTAGAAGCAGCGGAATGAAGTTAACTCCGCAGGAGGAGCGCCACAGACGCACTGCTCTCTGATTGGTCCGCTCGCTTTTCTGGAGCGCTGCTGATTGGCTTGAGATTAAACCGCTACATAATGGACTAGATTATATTATTAGCAGTGGCGGTTCAAGACCAAATGTTCCAGGGGCAGGGGGGGCATAGAGAAGCATGAAGCAAAAAAAAAAAAATAATAGGTCAAGGGATTCAAATATATTAAAGTTGTAGTGAAGTCATATTTCAATGTCAAATCATTCTGCCTTAAACATGTATATAAATGTCCTCTTTATCAGACAATATTGTCCCAAAAGTTAGAAAATTTCTATTCAAAAAAAAATCCTGTCTTATAATCTGTGTTTTTTTTCTCCTTTATCTTCTGCAGGCCAGTTAGTTCTACGTCAGCCTGAATACCTAAATTCAGCCAATCATATATCAATGGTCATCAAATGTTTTCGGTCATAGCATCTTGATT